TCAAAGGACTTCTAGGTTTTAAGTAAATGTCAACAAAGGAGTTTTAATCATGTATATATATTTGTGATGCCTACTGCTCGAAATTTCATCCTGTACATTTCTATCCTGGCTTCCCAATTCCTGATTATCAGAAAATACAGAAAAGTAAAAGCCTTGATGATAAGAATGCCTATGCTAGAAGCTGGAAATACTAAGCACATTTATGTCACAAAAGTTGTCACAAATTCACCCAGGATGGGGGTGGGGAGGAAGGAATCAACTAGAAGTAACCATCTAAGAAAATATTTCATTTAAAAAAATGATCTTCAACAATACTGAAATGTAGCTTTAGAAATTTTCTTTAAGATGCTGAAATAAATACTTTTTGGGGAATAAAGACAGTTTACCGATGATTACTTAACGAGCAAATATTAATGGACTACTGACACAGATGTTCTTCCAGCAATGTTTTTTAATTGTAGGAGGTGGAATCTTGGTCACAATATTTAATTGGAACTTGAGGAAGAAATTAAGTGCTAGCACTTATTTAGAAAAATCTAAAGGCCCTGTCAACAAGACATTCAGAACTCCATACTTCTGTAGGATTGCGATATCTCTGAGAACAAGTTGCCTTCCCCCCCCCCCCTGGAGTTTAGCAGTTAATAAAAATTAACTACCTGCAAATAATAGATGAAAACTGGACTTTAGAAAAGCCAGGCTCCATCCTTGTTTACAGCAAGCATAAAACCAGATTTCTAATCCGGCCCAGCGACAATCACCTATTGATTGCGACGACATCTGTGCCCCTGTTTTTGGAAGCAGGGTTTTCTGCAGAAGGCAGGGCTGAAAAACCCAACCATTTCAGTGCCCCTGTGTAATAAACAGCTTGACAGGTCTTTTAGGAAGGAACCTTGAAACCCACACCTCGGCTTGCTCCTTTCTCACCTACCAATGGACCCAATTAGGAGTCCTCCCTATGCCTCTTCAGAAGTTATTCTTCTCTATAATGCAATCCATGAAGAAGCATTTGCGGAACTCATGTGATACCTTTTAGCAGACAAAGAGGGGAATGCTTTGTGAACCACCAAATCCAACCTCCTTTTCCCCAGGCTGGAAAAAAGCCGCTGTGTCCGGGGACTCAGTTCAGCTGTGGAGCAGGATGAAAACCTCAAAGATCAGAGCCTCTTAACCCCTTTCTTATTTCAGAGCTTCCCTAGGGATAAAGTCTCTTAAAATCACACTACAGGGCTGCAGGGGGCAGGTGCAGTGAGGGTGAGGGTACTTCTGCTGAACTGGCCAGAGAGACTTTTCAATCCCTGTCTTTGTGGCGCCAAGGGTCCTGGCTCAGCCAGTGGCAAACACCCTAAGCAGCATGGCCTGGGACCACCTAGGAAGGGGAGTCTGTGTGTGTGTGTGTGTGTGGGGGGAGGGCTGCATGGGAGCGACATAGTGGGCACGTTGTAAAGCCCAGTTCAGAAACTGCTCTGTCCGCAGATCTGGGCTGCTCAGTAATCCCGCGCAAGGGAAAGCTGGTTCTTTTCTCCCTCTCACTTCTCAAGTTCACACTCAAGTTCAACCCCCACTCCCACAGGACTTCTGAGAGTAGCCTATCCCCCCCCCCCCACAAAACAGAACAGTTCTCAACAATGGGAGGGGATTGCCTATAGGAAATAAAGGGGTGGTGGAGGGGGACTAAGGGATTAGGAAAGGAGAGCCTGGTGTGTGTGTTTGTGTGTGTGTGTGTGTGTGTGTGGGGAGGCTTGGCCGCCTTTTCAGCTAACTTTTTCTCCAGCACGTTCCCCAGCGCGAGAGCGCCTCAAGCTAGAACTTCCAAGAGGTCTGGGCAGCCTGGTGAGACTGACACCCTCTGGGACCGGGTGGGGGTTTACACTGTTTTTTCTCAAGGTGAGCAGAAGTACTAGCTACTGGTTTTCAACCCTTCAAACTCTCGGGAGTCCCTGGTTACTGCGACAGCGGCCAGCCAGGACTGTCATCTGTAAAATGGTCCTTCAGGAGCAGCGAGATCAAGCTACCGCCGACTCCCGCCTAGCGCTATTCTGCTTGCCACATACAAGGAGAGAGTGAGAGCCTTTTATGCCCCAGGTCCTAGTGCCCGGTATGAGCTAAAGTGGCGCTTGGTTTTGAACCGTCATAAAGTATGAACCTACTCCTAGGGAGAATGCTGGAAGGGGACAAGAAGGGAAGGACGAACCGGCAGCCCCAGATCTGAACGGAGGAAAACGAAAGGAGAGCTGATGCGGTGGTGAGATGGAGGAGAACAAGAAAAACAAAGACAGGGGCGACTGTCGCTGAGTAGAGGCTCTGTACTCATCAAGTACCCAATTGTAGTTCCCTGAAAGAATTTCGACGGTAGTGCACGTAACCCACTCCCAACCCAGACAAGCAACTGGAGCCGGTGCACCCCACGGGTCCCCCACTCCCAGTGCGCTGGCCAGACAGGACCATCCCACCAGGACGCGCGAGTGCCTACCCACAGCTTTCCCTCCCAAAGCCCCAGACAGCCTCTCTCCATTCCTTCTCCACTTTCCTGTCCTATCCCAGAGTCCAGCGGGCTAACGAGTCTCTGCCCTCCGGTCCAGGCTCTGGGGTCACCGCTTTCAGGCAAAGGTGGGGTGAAGCCCGCTGCCTCCTCCCGCACTGCTCCAGAGAGGAGGTGGGTGGGAGAGAGATGCAGCCAGGTGGAAGGCGACAAGTGTGTGGCCCAACTCTCCCAAGTGCTTCCTGCTTTGATCCCCTCTCTTCCAGCCTGAGTGGCAGAAAGGTCATTTCCAACTTTCGGTTGCAAGGACCGGGAGGAACGTGTGAAGGGGAAAGAAGAGCTTCCCCCAAACCGCAGGGTGACCGGAAAGCGAGACTGGAAAAGGGTGGAGGGTACCCGAAAGCTTGCACGGATCCCCATAGTAGGCGGGCACCGGAAAGCTCTTCAAGAAAAGAGTGAAGTTTTGGCCAACCGGGAAGTGAGGGAGAGGGGACCCGGGAACAACGCGCAGGAAACCTGTAAGTTCCTGGAGTGGCAGGAGGGTGGCAAACACAGTGACTCCTCAAAGTCGCCTGGGCGGCCCCGAGTACAGTCAGAGCAGGTTTCTCCCTCCGTGTCCCCAGCGCGCGGCCCAGCAGCCGCCGGCTCAGCGAGAGCCACCGGCAACCGGGATCCTGGCCAGAGGGCGCACCCCGCACCACCTTCCACTGCCAGCCTTTATCTGACAAAGAGCGGAAGCCCCAGGATCCCCAGGCAAGGGTAGCGTGGCCTCCCCTTTCCTGCAGAACTTTCTCAGTGTAACTTTTTCGGGCTCGCGCTGGTCTCTGGGCCGCGCGGACTCATGAACGCGGACCTGGCCAGGGCGCAGAACCGTCGCGAAGGCGCGCGCGGAGGACTGTCCCCTCAACTGAGTGCAGTCCCGCGATAGCACCCTTTTGCCTCCCACCCCCTCGAAGGGACGTGCCTGCTGGCCGGGACGCTAGCGGGGCTCCTAACCAGGCGAGTGTGTATGCCAGTGCGCGTGTGACCGGCGCCGGCCCGTGCGCCCTGCGCTCCCAGCCCCAGCGAGGACTACTGTGCTGCAGGCGCTTACAGC